AGAGTTTAATCTGAGCATATACGGAACATTTTCATTAAATGACTGAAACTTTGGTCATAGACTAGTTTGTGAGGAACGATTTTTTTGTTTGCCTGTGTTGGATTTAGGAGTGGAATATATCTTCTTGGCTAACTTTAACTTATACAAATGGCTACACTGAATATGGCAGCCTTTTGTTTCCCAACCTTCTCAGCTGGAGGCTAAATATCAGGCGGCATATTTCTCTTTTCAAATAACTCGCCACATTTTACATAGTTAAATGCAATGAACTGTTCAAATGTATCAAATTATGTTATTTTGATGACAAAGTGGTATAATTTGATTTTAGTTATTTTAAGTGCTTAACAATCAAACAATGGAACCTCTGTTGAATGATGTGGTGTTTAGTGTAGTTTTTTTATTTTTTAATGTCCCTCTCAATTAATCTTAATCTTTCTTAATGTGATTTAATTGACAGTTAATGTAAACATTCTCATCAAATAGTTTTTTTAAATGTCCCTCTGAACATCAGTCTAGTAATAAAAAGGATATCGATTTTAAGCATTGCTCATATCTTTATAAATAGACGTCTAAATATCACCAAAGAGCTAATGCAATGAATTCGCCTGAGCTGCATAACGGGATTATCAAAGATATAAAGACTAAAGTTTAAGGCTGTGACATTTTTTTCTACTTCCAGTTCAGCTTTGCTTTTGAGGCTCACCAAATGTATCCACTTCATTAGAAACTGGAGAACATGGCTTTTACTTCAAGGATGAGTAACCACTGAATTTCATTCCTCTATGAAAGACTTCTTCTGCCATGACTTAAAGGTCATTTCCGGGTGACAAGCCACAGAATGATGTGGAGTGCTAGCAGGGCACAAAAGACACAGATCAAAGCTGGTAAATACTTTTGGACTGTATCCAAAAGTATCCTAAATGTATCCTAACTACAACTGAATATTTTTTCAAAACACATCATGATAAATTAACAAATATATTTAAATGCTCTCTACAACCTTACATGACATTTACTGTAAAATGATCACTGATACTGGATACAAAAGAAATCATTGTATTGGAAAAATAATCTGTGACTTATCAACCTATTAATAATAAAAGTTAAGATTTTAGCTAAACTTTACACGCGTGTTTTGTCATATGTTGTATGGAAAGGCAAACTTCACTACAGTTTATCCTAAGTTAATTTCATGTGTGATTATTTTTAGTAAGTGTCTCTCACATAAAAAGCATTTCTTTAGTGGATCTCTGTTAGAAAAGTGTCCTACTCAGTGCTGAACAAGGTGAAAATACGCCTGTCTGAGTGTCTGCAAGAGCGCCCGCTCCCCCCTGTGAATCTGTGTGAGTGAGTATATTTAAATGGGCCACTGCATCTCGACTTAGATCCACCGCGAGTGCAACGTTAACACACATCAAGCATGATTAATCTCCTGCTCTCATCTACAATCAATCACACACACTTGCAAATGTATGCACACACACACACACACACATGCTCAGAGGCAGAGAAATCACAGAAATCAGCTGGTTTTCCCCTCGCAGCTGCCATCTATCTCCTGTAGGACAGAGGTAGATCTGTCTTGATGTTAATATTTACATAAATCATGCTTAGCCTTTTTGGACACCATGCTGATGATTGGTGTTTCTGCAAAAATCATCACGGGTGAAAAATCCTCTCACTTGGGTAAAGTGTCATTGAATGGCTAATAATGACCCATGTCAATGCCATCAATCTGTTGTAGGCACTTTGAAGGACATTTCAGTTTCACACCATGAAGGTCCAGCTTCAAAATAAGAATCTACACGGCTTTAAAAAATGGATTTAAAAATTTACATGCAACAATTTGTCATGTGAAATATAGAGGTAAAACAAAATGGGCGTTTGATGTTCAAGTATCCTCCCCAGTAACAATATGTGTGATCTCGCCTGGCTTTGAAGTTCAAAAGCCCAGCAGTTGACTGAACCTTTTCCGTCCACAGAAAAAATAAATACTTCTTCTCTGTGAAGGCATGGTGTATACATGTGTCAATGGACGAACTGGAATAAATTGCACGGAGAAGGTTTTGCAAACTTTGTCAGCAATTCAACAAGCACCAAGCAGCAGAAATGTCCCTCTTTTAAATCAAATTCCTTCTAAGGGACACCATTCATAGCTGCATCGTATGGTCGAAGCCATCACCTGTGGCTGGTGAGGTGGAAAGGTGAGGAGGGGGCTGCAGTAGGGGCCAAATGAAAATGATATAAGATCAAGCTGATTACATCTAGCAATGCCGCAGACCTAATTGCCGAGCGTGACAGTGTGCGGAGCTTGTCATCTCCAATCATTAGGTCTGTCAGAGATCCATCAGATGTTCAGTTAATTAGATGAACACTAATGAAGCTGGCAAAACAACTCCTCTTTTTAGTTGGTTGAGTGCGCTCCGACACCGGGGAAGAGTGTGTATGACGGGGGAGACATTTCTGGAAAAGAGAGAGAAACAGTGCAGAGGATGCCGGAAAAAGCGCCAACCAGATTTGTACGAAGAACAGTTTAAAGAGTGAAGCGGTACCATGTTCAGGTGGATCTGCATACGGTTCGCTGGGTGAAAAACCGACAGAGAAAAAGCAGTAAGATCCTGATCTGCACACTATTTTCTCTTTTGACAAACACTAACTGAATAACATAGAAGAGTAAAATGGAAAAAAAGGAAGGGATTTTGCCCCGAAAAAAAAGTCTCATCTTCATAACCTTCTTCCAACTCCCAAAAATTCCTATTCAAAACGTATCACTTGCAATCCTTATATAAGTCTTGCCTATACAGCAATCAGTTTGTCAATACTTCTTTCTATGCCACACAGTTCATCTAAACCTCACAACTTGCAGCTGGAGGGAAGATGAAGGAAGAGGAGGAGCAGTCAAGGGTAGAAAAAAGGCACTTGCCAATAGTTTAAAATGAAACCCCTCCTTTGCCTTGTATTTGTTCTCATCCTCTCATCAGAGAAATAAATGCCTCATTTTCTTTTTCGCTCTTACTGACGCCAGGCTCACTCCTTCATTCCAGCGGCATGAAAGGTTTCGATCCATCCAGCCATCCGTCCATTCATCCTTTCACCCCCACCCAGTGTGTCCATTAGATCAAGTAAGGATGTGGAATGAGAATACAAGACTTTTTTCTATGCGTCTCTCTGTGAGCCAACCTCTGATTGACCATTAAGGCCACTGATAAATGTGTCTGTCAGGAGACAATTAAATCAGATATAAAACAAAGTCTTTCTGATGGCCCCTCAAGAGGAGCAAAGCAGTCATCTGCCTCTCAGTGAAGGTAATATTTAATTTTTTAATACCAGCGGGTGCTGGTATATAAACAATGAGTATCATGTTCTTTAACTGTAAAATCTTGGAGCAACGGACTGTGGTGGAGTCCGGAAGCAAATGAAATATTTTAAAAACTAAACGCAAAAATAAAACTATGATGCAATAAAACGATGCATTCAAGGCTAGATGTTTGAGGCCAGACACAACCTCAGCAGGCCCTGCTTTCCGACTGGAGGGTTGATTTATTGACACTTATTGGGAATGAACAGATCAAAGGCTCAGCAGAATGACGGGAGATCAATCAAGCATCAAATCAAAGATGGCAATTGTCCATTAAATCTCTCTTCCACCATACGCTCACACCCTAGGCTCTGAAATAATCTTTAGAGGAAAAGTATTTCCCAGAAACTGAGATTTAGCATAAACAGTAAAAAGACCAAACACATTCTGATCAAACCAAACATGTTTGTTCCTCACTTAGAACTTTTGGAGTTTAAGAATAATAAAGGCAATATGTTGTTGATGAAATATTTTGTAATATCAATGACATCACTCAAAGTATTAAAAGTGACGGGATTTTATCTCACTTTAAACAGCACTATGTAATAACACTATCAAGTAAAATTACAGTAACCTGTAAAACGCTATACCGAAAGAGATAGTGAAACATCAAAAGTGTGCGTGACTATGTGTTGATCCTGGAGAGTAGACAAACCTCTCCATTATAGATCCTTAATCCCATAGTCAATATCAATAAGCAGATAAGAATGAGGGCCCATAAAGGGGAAGACAATTATTTGATTCACACCTGTGAAGGATTTTTAAACTGATGGGTAGAAGAGAAAAATATGGGGGAAAAAATTAAGAAAACGTTCATATTGAGACCTTTTTAAGGACGCATTGCAGATGACCCGTGACCTTTTCTGAGAAACAGGTTTATATCTAATTACCGAATCAGTTTTTGTCAATATCCCGCGTTTTCAAAGCAGACATGTATTAAACTAACCATAATCCACACACTGTTTTCAAGGATCGATTATCCTGACAGGTCCTTTCTTGATACTTTTGCTCTTTAAATGTAAGAAACTTTTTTTTAATTCCCTAAGCCCTCAAGTGACATAGAGGAAGGCATTTTTGTCCAACTCAAAACCAACAGAGAAGCTAATTGAAATGAGTTGAAACAAACAAACGCAAAAACAAAAAGATCAACATCATTCTAAGTTGCAAATAATTACAACAAGCTTGAGCTTGCGGCTGAATATTTTCTTTTCTTCCTTGCAACAAAAAGTTTTTATTCATTTATTCATATCTTAGAAAAGTAGTCCCATTTCATTTTACTGGATTCTAGTTGACATGATTAGAAATTTGCAGTGAAATTAGCTGTGTTTAGTCTAAAGGAGAAAAATATTTGAATATCGTTGGAGTGAATACTGGTTTCTTCTTAAAGTGGCATGTGCCCTAATAAGATCCTAAAATGCTCATAATTACAACGGAAATAAAGACATTTCTGCTCAGAGGGAGGACGTTTGGACCAGGAGATGCATTGCTGCAGTTTCCTAACCACATCACTTTGTTTTCATGTGGCTGACAGCGATATCAGTGAAAAGTAACTGAAGTGAGAAGGGGTCGCGACGACTGAAAAGGAAGAAAAGGAAGAAGGGGGGGGGGGGTGAAAGGCGTGCAAACTAAAAGCGGAGCTTACCTACGGCGCGCCGCGGCGCTTGCTGCTTTCTCCGCGGCATGATGTTGGCTTTGGGAGGCCGGGGGACGGAGTTTGTCTCTGGCCACGGTGATCCGAGGCTGCGTGGGGGATCCTGCGGAGCTTTGATACACACTTTCCCCCCCAGACTGCTCTCTCTCTCTCTCTCTCTCAAAGCCCCCACATAAATCGAGGTATAGGACTATGAGAGCGACGCAAAAACGCAACAACGCAAAAAAAAAGAAAGGAAATCAGGAGGAAAAACGATGCCAAGAGAACCAGCGTGGTTCCTCTGCAGTTGACTTGGAGCTCTCTGTCGGCTGCTCGATCTCTCTCTCTCTCTCTCTCTCAGCCTGCTCCGACTTGGATGGACGTGATGGGAGCTGGAACAGCGAGCTCCGCGGCAGAAAAAGAGAACGCAGGAAAGCGTTGTGTGTCTTTTTTTTTTTGTGATCCTCTAGGGCTGCTTGGTCTCGGAGGCTGCAACAGGCAAGCTTGAGGGGATAAAAACCAAATGATGGCGTCAGTCAAAAGTCCGCAAACAAGGGGAACACACATCAAGAGCTGACACAACTGAAACCCTGCGCCTCTTCTTACGGTTCAACCTCTCCGCTGCTGATAGGCGTCACGTAGCTCCCCTGTCTCTCTCTCTCTCTCACTCCCTCTATCTCTCTCTCTTTCCTCGCCGTCTTTAGAAGCCCCTCTCACTCTCTTTCTGACATCCACTGTCTTTATTCTAGCCCTGTTTATTTCAAAGAAGGGAGCCTCGTCAGACGCTTCTGGACATGGTTTCGAAATGTGCGTAACGTGAGGCGTTATAGGCGTAACGCAGGCAAATCTGTAGTCTTAACAAAAAAACACAGTAAGATTCACAAAACACGCAACGGGATGACAGGGATACTTACTTGACTTTCTTATCTTCTGCCTCGCTATCCGTGGACATTTCGCGTTTGCCTCTGGGTCATCATTCACAGTTCAAAAGCAAGGAGATGAATCAGCTGAAAACATGCCCGAAACAATCCCAGAATGATCCATTTAGGCATCTGCCCGGTCGGTGTTTAAAAAAAAAAAACACAGATGCACTCGCCCTTGTTAATTCTTTGGCGGAAGAAAAATGAGGAGGAGGAGGAGGACGAGGAAGAGGCTGGTTTGCCCGCACGCTGGCTCTCTACCTGACGCGGATACGTTATTTCGTCTGAGAAGTCTCTGAAAAAATCCGCCGAGGGCAATTCATTCGGTCAGCAAGTTGCGTTCACGCAAGTGTGAGTGTGCCGTGCGTGTTGATACTACAAGTGTGTGTCCGTGTGTGTGTGTGCGAGAATCGATGAGATACGTGCTTGATTGGGTCTCCCTTGTTGTAATAATGTACATGAGGAGGAGGAGGTGGAGGAGGAGGAAGAGGAGGAGGAGGAGGTGACGGGATCAGGCTGCTCCCATGCAGGCAGGAGCGCACGGATCAGCCAAACAGTCTTTTTTTGGCTGCCGAAAGTATTTTTCTCCGCTTTTTTTTCTTTTTTCTTCGCTCGGTCCGATAGGAGCTACTTAAATCAGCCACGCAGTGAATCAGACGCGTTACCCAACGTTGTGCTCAGGTCTCCTTTCCTGCTCCTTAAGTTGACCGGACAAGCGCAAAAAACCTTCTCGACACCGAATGGAACAGGAGAAAGTTATTATAACGTTTCCTTACAGGTAAGCTAAAAAAAACAAAAACAAAAGTATTATTCAATTCAGGTTAAGTCAATGAGATTCTTTCTGGGAGCGCGTAAGCTCTCGTTTCCACGTTGGTTAGGGAGAAAAAGTTTTGGGATTCAACCGAGTTTGTGAAGAGTATAGAAAAAAAATCTCTTGTACTTTTCAGGCAATCCTCAGAGTTGAACGCGTGCTTCACGGTAGCGAAACAATGGATCAAAGGTTCTCGAGAGGAACACCGGGGATCAAGAGAGGTAAGGATGTGTTGCCAAAGGCTTTCTCTCTCTCTCTCTTTCCCACCTCCTTTCTTCCTCTGAACCAGATGTGCTGCCGCGACGCGCCTCTCGCATCCGTCAATAGCCACCAAAACAGTTCTTTCCGTGGGATCAGTCGGATGAATCAAATAACCCCTCTGATCGTTCCTGGACTGAGTGGAAGCAGTCTGCCCGTTGTTCTATCCTCTCGCCGGGCTGGTCGCAGAGTATACGTTGCTTGGTATCTCTCCCACAGATCGAGGGTGTTTTTTCGTTCCAATCTCGAAGCGAGTGTTTGAGAGTGTGTGAGTGTGTGTGTGTGTGAGTGAGTGAGAGCCACTCCACCACCGCCCGCCGTTAGATCCGCCCAGGCATCTGTCCGTCTTTCCATTGGTGCATCCATCAGTGTCACACACAAACATGCAGGAACACAACTGTCGTGCGCACAAGTCCTCGCCATACCTTAACACCCCTCCCCACAGCTCACACACTCCCTCAAAGCACAGCAGACACCAGCTCGCACGCGCTCAACGGGCGACGAACGACGTTCATCCGCTTTGTCTGACCATATTCTTTAAAAAGAAAAACACTTCCATAAAGTAAATAAGCGCTCCTTGAATCCTTTTTACGCACACTTTTACAGTTTGATTCTGATTTTCCAACACACCCAAAAAACTGAGGAACAGATCGGACTTTTCGTTTCAGGCTGATCAGTGTTTAGTTACGGAAACACACTGACATGCAAGACAACTTCTGCAACACCCAGATGCAACGATGCAACTATTTTTAAATCTGTGCGCAAAGGCTGCATTTCTGCGTAAGACAAAAGAATTAACACAAGCATGACAGCAATTAATGTTTACTCGGAACGTTTTTGCTATCTGCAATTGGCCTATAGTATGTTTTCTGAGTTTTATGGAAGGAGGCTAAAGGTGATGTGAAAGAAGAATTAGATCTATTTTGTAATATTGAATGTACACCTTTTCTATAGTCATTACATATCCATAGAACACGACAAAGATGAGTTTATATACAAATATTTATTTTGGAAAAAACTACTTTTAATATGTGTCTGTGTTTTTTGCACACCCTGAGAGACTTGACATCATTTCCATTTTTTCTCAAAATCAAACTCCTGCAACGGTTCACAAATCTTGCTCGACAACGTCTGCATAGACACTTTGCGTCCATTACCACGGATCTCTAAACAGTAGCCAATTGCTCTATTTATCATGTATCTGTTCATTTAATTGCTCATTGTATGATTGTATTTAAAGTCGTGAAAGTCATGCAGTGAAAGCCGTTATAGTCGTCTCGATAGATCTACACATATGTGCCAATAACAAAGTAAAAACTTAATTGTGTGGCAGATAATGTTTCACAAAGTGTGCAAAAACATGACTTTAAACGTGCAGGGGACGTTACACCCTGACAGCTGTACATTTATTGTGTACATCCTCCCTTTTCTCTTCAGCCAACAATGTTGTATAAAATAAAATCAGTGCGCTCAAAAGTGCAGTTTTGATACCGCAAAAAGCCGTGTTAATACGAAGCACAACACAGGATGCTTCATGCAAATGATTGATATCATCTTTTTGTCGTGATGCGGTTTCAAATTAGTTTAGAATAACGACAGAATAAAGAGGACATCAGTTTATAACTGAGCATTTATTTCCTTTTCGAGTGAGTGTTTCAAAACTTTGTGAGTGTCCACACGTGATTCATAGATCATTTTCAAGAAGCAAAACAATATCTATCCACTTTTAACAATATCAAGTAGTTTAAGTTTAACTTGAAAAAAAGTTATTAAAGGACGTAGAAATCATGCATTTATCAGTCAAAATTATACAAAATGTTCTATTGAAGGAAAAACTCTAAACTAAAAATAAATAAAAATAAATAAATTGATTCAAAATCAGCTCCTTTGTTAAGTTTATTTAAACTCTTTTCTTGTCTTTCACTCCATTCATTGACTAATGTATTATGTGAAGTGTTCTTTATTTATGTCATTGTTGTTCATGTAGATGAAAAGAGAATGACATTAGCTCAAACCTTTTTTTTTTTTTACGAAAACACCTTTTTTTTCTGTCTGCAGAGCGTTATCTCCAGTAGACCTAACTTAACTCATCTCTACTAGTACCTTACAAGACTCACCCAGCACTCAATGGTGTGTCAAATTTAGACAGTCACAGGATACAAGGAGACCTGAGCATAAACATCATGCTGGTATGGTGGCTGTTCAGGTGTCAATTACAATTTAATGTGTAATTTGTCGCTTAGAATTTCGATATTCAATTCACGTTGGTGCGTGAATGAATTCCCCTTTTTGTTCGAGTCGTTCGTAAAATGAGATTGTAATCGACGTTATAAAACGTACGTTAAGCCTCAATCGAATCCATTTCTGTTTTTGAAGTTGGACATAAGTGTGTGGGGAGAAGTGTCGGAGAGTAACTAAGTAAATCATGAACTGCCTTCACGCTGATTCCACCGAAAACTGAAGAGGAGCGCAGTTTGAGCGCATCAGTGAGCGCGCAGACTTAGTCGCGTGTGCGCGTGCGGTGCAGGGAATCGGCGCACGTCGTCGGGGAAGATCGTATTGCCCAGTCTTACCTACTAGTGAAATTCCAGGCTTCTTGTCTGTCGACGCACAACATCGTGCAGTTTTGGGATTCGGAATCGAGGTGTAAAGAATGAAAAAGAAGAATAAGTTCCTCAGTGATGAGGCACAGGCTGCTCATGAACACAGCCGAACTTTTAAGGGGCATTTCGCATAATACTCCTGGTTTATTTGTGCATTTATTAGTGGAGATGATCAGAAATCATGATATATTTTTTTCCCTTCTACTGTAACCATATTGCGCAAAAGATCCGCCGAGGTATAAACAACCTTTTACAGCACACGGAGTTCTAAAGAGTCTGCTTTAGACTAAAGAAATAAGAATAGTTTAAAGTAGGCTTTACACTGTGGCCAATCTGTGTTAATCTGAAGTAGCCTCGACCGAAGCTGAAAAAAAGACCTGTCTGGCGTTTCTGAAATATCCCTTAAAAACACGAACTTGCTGACTGTGAGAATGAGCGAAAAACAAAACACAACTGTTAA